TTCCATTAACGGCAAAAATAGATCTGAAGCTACACCTTCTGATGTCAATTTAATGTGCCTGCATTCTCCAAGTACGTCATTCCTCAAGTCAAGCCAGCATTCTACCAACAACACTACGGCGACGACGACAGAGCCCTCCCACTAATGTTGGGTATTGGGAAAAGCACCAATGTATTGACTTCAACATAATACTCCACTCCACATCGCGCAACCCTGAGTCTGGACTAGAATACGAAGTATGATTCACTGTACACTCGGTTACATCTAAATTGTATCTGAAATCTCCATGGGTCCATTGCCAAGATCATCGCCGGTACTAAGGTCTGCAAGTGTTGATTTTAGTAAGTGTAAGGAACGGAGAGGGCTTTGAAGAGGCTCACTCCTCTCGGCACTCTTGCCAATGTTGTCCATGTGCCATGCGGCTCAAATCAAGCTCGGGACCTCCTCTGGGTATCACTAATGCAGTCACAGGGTTATAGAAGGAGTGTCGAGAAGCGGGTGGTACCCAGAACAAGAGTCGATGTTTGGGTCCTGCCACCCACCCACTGTCGCCGTTCAAGAAAAAGGGGGTCGAACTACGGTCGTCGTGAGATGCTCCCTCCATTAACTCAGAAGTGTCGCGCAGTGCATGGATGGTGTGGGGCGAGAAGTAAATGAAGTGATTGTTCCAAGTGTTCAATGTCATGGTAGTGGTGGCATCGATCGTGCGATGTTCATCTGAGAATGCTGAATGACCAGACTCGGTGGGCAGTCGCGAAGGCTGCCTCGCTACTGCATCCCACAGCCGGACAGTCTTATCGTCCGAACCAGTGACGATGCGAGTGCCGTCTGACGAGAACGAGACCGAGTTGACTGAACGAGTGTGGCCCCGCAAGGGCTCACCGACTGGCTGCCCCGTCACTGCATCCCACAGACGAACAGTCCCATCCCAAGAACCAGTGACGATGCGAGTGCCGTCCGGCGAGAACGAGACCGAATTAACTGAAGAAGTGTGCCCCCGCAAGGGCTCACCGACTGGCTGCCCCGTTACTGCATCCCACAGCCGGACGGTTTTATCGTCCGAACCAGTGACGATGCGGGTGCTGTCCAACGAGAACGAGACCGAGTTAACTGAATGAGTGTGCCCCAACAAGGGCTCACCGACCGGCCGCCCCGTTACTGTATCCCACAGCCGAACAGTCTTATCGATTGAACCAGTGACGATACGAGTGCCGTCCGGCGAGAACGAGACCGAATTAACTGAATGAGTGTGCCCCAACAGGGGCTCACAGACTGGCTGCCCCGTTGCTGTATCCCACAGCCGAACAGTCTTATCGATCGAACCAGTGACGATGCGAGTGCCGTCCGGCGAGAACGAAACTGAGGTAACTGAGGTGTCCCCCTGCAAGGGCTCGCGGACAGGCCGCCCCGTCACTGCATCCCTCAGCCGAACAGTCTTATCTAAAGAACCAGTGACGATGAGAGTGCCGTCCGGCGAGAACGAAACTGAGGTAACTGAAGAAGTGTGCCCTTGGAAGGGCTCACCGACTGGCTGCCCCGTCGCTGCAATCCACACCCGAACAGTGTTATCCGAAGAACCAGTGACGATGCGAGTGCCATCCGGCGAGAACGATACTGAATTGACAAAATCAGTGTGCCCCCTAAGCACGGTCTGAACAGCCGGCCAGTTCATATCACGTCAAGATGCCACACGAAGAGTATTTGGAAACCGTGCAGAAAACTTCCTTGATAGCGGAGAGTTGGCGGGCGAGAATGGGAGTGCTGATACATACAGATGTGGCGTGCTGTGTAAAATGATGCCGCCGAAGACTTGAATGAACCTCTGTATGTCCATTGCAGTGGATGAGATGTTTTTGGATTCGGGATGGCCCTGTTGTTGCGCGTGAGCGCTTAAGTTGGCGCTCAGTAGCAATGTACTCACCTTCAGCCACTGGGGAATGAATGAGAGGGCAGGAACTGCACCGCTGAGCGCATTGATCAGGGCGAGTGACTCGAGCCAGAAAAACAGCCGCTCGTGGTCGAAGAACAATTTCACTTCTTTTGCGAGCTCCTTGTCGAAGACTGTGGTTCGTACGTGCGAAATCCAAAATCGAGAGGAATATGACAGATGTGAAGGGATGCATTTTTGAACTCGTTCTTGTAGCCCGGGATCTTCGCAATTAGGCAGATACGACGACTTTAAATTACAGATATTGAAGCGAAGACCGTGTTCCATCACTCGAAGTGACGCGAATGCAAGGTTATGTTGCGCCTTCGACAGGTCGATAAAAAAACTCTCCACTGCACCGTTTGTCCGTCAGGAAATCGCGGAAGGATGCGTGAAGGAGTCGGATTGGGGAATCCGGGTTGGTGGTGCCGCTAAGGAGGGAACCCATGCATTTTACCATAAGCTTCACGTCGAAATGGTCCTCTTGCTTTGGAAAATGGTGCCTCGTGGCATTCAGGGAAGCTAAAGGAAGGGGCTCAGCTGTCCCTAGTATTTGTCCCATCACAGAGCGAAATCTCGCTAGCGCAGTCGAACGCAGTTTCTGCGAATGCTGGACATTGGTTGATGTATCCCTGTGCATGATATCTGTTAAAATGAGGCGATACATGTCGTTCAACAATATGCTTCTCTCAGCCAGATCGCGTGACACCACAGCTTCGTAGCAATCAATCGGAGATATCCCAGGATGAGGTTCTTTGATGTATCCGCAGGCAAGACGCGCCCACTCGAAAAGTCCGTCAGCTTTCTCAGCGAGGACCGCAAACTCTCTATCCTGGAAATCCAACTCATCCAACTCCTTGGATACGTAAGCACGGATGTCGCGCTCTGCGACTGCTGGTGGAATATCATCCATCGACATCTGTCGAATATGCTGAACACCGTGAAACTCGTCATTGATATCACCAAGTGGGCGAGAGGTAACGATAAAGCGTAAGTTGTCTGGGAGGTCTGTGATTTTTGGAACAGCGGGGTTTTGATGTTTGCCAGCTAGAATACGGAGGAGGTCTCTCCGTGTCTCTACCCCACCGCTCTCGTCCAGTGCATCGATCACGATCACGATGGGTTCGCCAGTTGATCCAGATAACTTCTCTAGTGGTTCGATAAGAAGCTTTTGCCACTGCTGTATGATATCTGCCGTCTTCTTGAGCGAACTCGCGGTCTGAAGTGCATCTGCCAATGCCTGCCTCATCTCCGGGTAACGGTCAGCCAGATCGCGCGCGATCGTGGAAAAGATCTTTTCATGGCGATGATCTGCTTCTCGCTGGCGGTCAAAAGAGTAACAAGAACCAAGCCCTCCCACGTCTTCGAACCACTTAGCAATGGTGTGGGCGATGGCTGATTTTCCCTTGCCTGCAGGGCCAGATAGCCACAGCACGCGTTGAACGTTGTCCCCAGTGCTAGTGACCCATTCCGTGATCTGGGAAAGGATTTCCATGCGCGTACCTTGAAAGCATTGTTTTCTGGTATCTAGCCCCGCGCCCTCTGCATAAGGCATACCGCTGAGGTCCAATATTTCTTCTGAAAAAGCATGAATATATGTCAAGTCACAATGACATCCGAACCGTTACCTGTACGATGTACATGTATGGCTATGTCGTGGACGTGTATGACTACGTCGTGAGCAACTTGGTCCCGGAAGTTTTGCATGAGTCTATCGAACATGTCACTGTACTTTTGGATCGTATCTGTTGTTTCCGAGACGAAGTTCTTACCGAGTCTCTTCCCTGTGATGATGGTAGAAGCTCGAGACGGTACAGAGCACAACAGCTTGTAACACTCACAAAAGTTTCTGGTCTCTGAGTAACTTCTAATAAAATAGGCACATTCACGGGCCTGCTGAGAAATTTTTCCAAGGATAGCGCACATCGACGAGATTCGGCCGAGCATCTCGTCTTGTGTTATGAAACTGTAAACCTCACACAACTTATCGAGAAGTTTGAGTAAAGCTGCATCGCGATCTACTTGAGCTAAGATAATCTGCATAAATGATTCCTGAGCGGTGGGAGATAGGAAGAGAGAAAATGAAAACATACTTTGGCCGCACAAGACAACACGCCCAGTGCCATCTTTGCATATGGATGTACCTGTGGAACTAGATTAGTTCGATTCCGATCAAGAGGAGGGTCCATACATCCGCGATCTTCTCGGTAACATCGTCGAATATCCTGAGGGGTTCGAGATATGTGTCCTGGAAATTATCAGCAGCATCGAGACCCGCTCGTGCGTCTTGTCCAACAGAAACCACGGTTATCGCAGGTCCGAAAAGTGGATGCATGGACGTTGCAGCCTCTTGTGCATCCCGAAGTGCCGATTGGGTACTATCAGCCTCCACTTCCACACCAGATGGAGCAACCTGAACCTGCACGATCACCAGAATTTAGAGAGAGCGCAGAGACTGGAGGGCGAGTATGAGGACCTACCGATGTCGATGAAACACATTCATGATAGACATTCTGAGGAACAGGGCTGCGAATGCGGGGATCCTTCGAGCGCTTGTTGCAATCTTAGTCGTATCTCATTACGCATGTTCGTAGACTTACCGGGATCCTTAACTGGTTCACACCGTCCTTAATCCCTCCCAGAAACCGACGAATTTTGCCAGGGGGTCGGCGCTAGACGAAGGATGTATCAATGTCAGTATTTGGAGTGGAGTCACTGGAGTGTGCTAAGTGGCCCTCACGAGTCACGTACCAAGCTTCCACGAGTTATTGCTTCACTAGATGTGAGGGTTTCTTGACTCGAATCCCTCAATGAACTGCCTGTGCTCATTGTGAATAGCCAGCAGTTGACAATCAGAATTAGTCTGTAGCGAAATAAGGAAGGGCCCTACTAGATGCGAGTTCGCACGAGGATGTTCGAAAGTGCTCACAAAACGCTCGTGTGGGTATACTTTTTACACCTGAGACGCAGCCAACAAAGTCACGCTATTGGCAGATGCCACTATGGCGCCGGGCCTCATATCATTTATAGGCCATATGGCCATTATTAGTACAAGCCTGGAGGTGAGATTGTGACCATATTCGGCAGAGTCGAATGAAGAAATAATCTACTAATCGTTCATCGACTTCTCACTCTCGTACTACTCCAAGCTGGTTCTGACCGGTATGTCGAGACCAAGATCGATCCTATGCAGAGCAGGACATGAGGCCATGAGCGTTATCTAAGATTTATACATTATGACAGCTGCTGTTCCCGCCTCCTCACGACAAAGGCGACTGGATCTCTGGATGCTATCGTCTTTGTTCACAAGTATCAATAGCGCTCTAGGCTCCATCATCGGTCGCCAGAATCCTACTGTACTAACCCAAAACGCATCACTAGCATCATTCTTGATTCTCACTCTTCTCGTTTAATTGCACCCATCGACTCGGAATGCGACATATGCATCAACGTCAACCAACCATCTCTATGCAGCCGCCGCACCCTCTTATTCCTCAACCTTCAAGTCACATCCACTTTCCACCAGGAAGGCTGGCACTCCCTTCAAATGGTTGTTTTCACCCGCTACCTCCGGCGCGTCCTCGACACACTGCCATCGGACGGGCAGATACCCAAGACGGATGACTGCACCATCCACGTCGTCAGCGACAAGGTGCAAAAGTCCAACATCGTCGCCATATCCGCATGTCCCGGACTCTCTAGATCAGATACCATTGCACCGCTATTAAACGTAGTTCGAGGACGGGATCAGTTTACATTCAGCATCATTCTTCATTTGATTCGAATACCTAGACACTGACGATTCCTCAGATATACATTCCCTCAGCCCCTCCTCCGCCTTCTCACAAAATCCACCACATCTGCTACGAAATCTGTGCCGTACATCCTTTTTCTCCCAACGTTTTTCAAGAGTAATGCTTGCCAAGGCACAGGTGCTCCAGAAGTACTCTACCGCGAGTGTGCGATTATTAACATGTAGATACCGAATCCTGCGACGGCTGATGCTACCGATCCACAGGTGGGCGAGTCAGTTTGCTTGGTTGGTGACAATGTTGATAATGATGAATAGACACAGGCCACGGGCTTTGAGTACAACGAGCTTCTGAGTCCGCAGCATACGGGACGAATACACTCCATGAGCTTCTCGAGCCATGGAGGACGACCATGTACGGGACCGAGCGGCGTGAAAATCACACCGAGGTTTCTCGTTCAAAGCCGGTGCCTTCGTTTTGTTACTACACATCCATTAACCGTCTTCTACTGAGGTCAGCATTCAATAAGCATGTGAATTGACCTCCACCCTACCAGAAGGAATTTTACGCGTGAAGGACATTTATTAGAACGCATCTCGAACATCTTCTCCACCAACTACAATTACAGAACACCGTCCCTGATGCTATTCGCAAAGGAGATGTACCCGGAGTGCGGAATCCTCGCATCATTTTCCAGAAAAATTTTGGAGAAGAGATGAAGACCGTGCACCCCTTGTTGCGCGAATGGTTCCGTACTCGCAATTTCGCCTTCCAACAAGGTCGAATACGCAATCTCAGTGGACAGCTTCGCATTTCCTTCGACCTCTTGCGTTCAGAGGACATTGATGGTATATCAAGTATCTCACGATTATTATTTTCAAAAAACACCTGATACTCTTCGGTAACCGCAGACCGAGGTGAGCATACTTGTGTCACGTCTGCCTACACATCAAGTGGTGCGGCGTTTCACATCATGAAAAACGCAAAAGTCGCTTAGCAAAAACTCCCTACTGACTGTCTTCGGGTGCCCGGTTCCCAACACTCGTCCCATTTCTGTGGAACCAGTGATGTCAGTGAAGCAATAAATTCCGAGTCAGCAACGCCAACAAATAAGATGTCAGCAACTTGCTCCATGAAATTTGGTTGCAATTATCACAGAGCAGCGGAAATTCAGTGCGACTAATTGAGAAGAAACGGCACTAGGACGGTGAAGAGACAGAAGAGTAGTTTTTGATTCTGTGGGTCCTACTACTTCTGTGGGCATGACAAACACGACAGCTAGATGTGACCTGAACATACGGGGTACCGGATGACCCATCTTCATAGTCTTCCATAGGCAGACCAATAGAAGGAAAATAATCGTTTCTTCCATCAAGTAGTGTCCTCGCCCGAACGGATGGGATAGTCATATTGACGGCACTAGTGATAGCCCGATAGGAACATTCCCAATTTCCCATACTACACCTGCTCTACTGTTACTCCGGCTCCACTCCAGAAAAAGCAGCACGTACCTCGCACATCTACCCTAGGATTATCCAAGAAGCTAACAATCTCAAGATCCATAGCCCACAACTCAAACAAGCAGGCGAGCATCTATTCGTGAAGCACAAACTTGATCCGACGGTCGTGATTGAGGCCGGGATCATCATGATCAGACGCTCGCGTGCTACGCGTTCGGATGAGCACAACACCGAAGACCGATTTGAAAGTCTTTTTTTTCTGATGCTCACGAGGGTTGCGACTCCATGGGTGAACGTTAACTTTCGGGGTTCAAGTTGACAACGGGGGCTCATCGGTTTGCTGACGACGGTGTGAGATGTTGCACTTGGAGAAGTCTGTTCGCGAGCTGTTAAGGTATTGCGCGTGATACTGACGGAGGCTGACTCGGAGTCGGAAGTGGTTGCTTACTAGGCACGAGGAATTTGAAGTTGCCAGACAGGCTAATCGTTGTCAATTGTACCATGTGATGCCATTTGTCGGTAAGCCAAGTCTCGTCATTATTCACATCTCATTGGCAGGTGCTCGTCAAGCAAGTTGTCAGACAGACCGTGTGTACCTGTTGGTAGGCCAAGGATACAAGTCCTTATTTCTAGCACATATCCATTACCAGAACATTGTAGCGAAGGTAATGACCATGTCATCCGGACACACGCTTCTAACTGGGGAAGATTCACGGTAATATCATTCGCACATCGTAAAGTATTCCAACAAGATGAAGTAAGATGCAATAAATATATCATAATCGAGATGCACGACCAATCATCTTGCAGTGCAAGATACGAAGTATGACGCATTGTCAAGTGAGTTGCCACCCAAGGCAACGGACGTATCCCTGTGATTTTCTCCAAGCAACTCCTCGAGGTACTAAACATCTTCCTGGATGAGCACGAGAGATTTTGCAGAACGGGGCTTAATAGAGCACTTGAAGGGCTTGGGGTGGCTAGGAGTGTGTTTATCCAGACCGGCACGGCAAACGACGACAAGCGCAACATACCTGATTGTACCTGATGAGGGGTCAACCTCAGGGGTGATCTCGACACCATTCTCAACAACCTTGGAAATATCAAAAACGGCAAGCGACATTGCAGCAGACATCCAGACAGACGCATCAGCGAGGTGTAGACCTGTAAAATCAAACGCAAGCGACGTCAGAAATGTCCTGATGATCGGCGTCCTCTTTCAGTTTAGCTTACCTGGGCAGATACTGCGGAGGACGTCAGCGTTTTGTTTCCAAAACAGCAACTCAATGCTTACCGTCTACCAAACCCAAAGCAGATCGTGCGAGGATCGGTCTCAGGCTCCTTTCCTTCTTTGGCCAAGAAGCGTTCAGGGTTGAACTCCGAGGGGTTGGCATATGTCCGAGGATCATTGAGCATGAACCTGGCGCAATTCAAACCATTGAATATTTTCAACATACCGAATACCAGAGAAGGAGAGTGCTAACCAAATGTTGGGCATTATCAAAGAGCCCTTGGGAATGTAGTACCCATCATGGATGTCGTCTTCAGTAACGCGATGAGGAACAGCTGTTATTAAGATACCCCATTGTCAGCAATATAATGCTATAAACAAGATACACAGACCGGTAGGGACGACAGCGTTCCAGCGTAGGACTTCCTTCGCAAGCGCCTCAGTGTAGGGAAGGGAGTCACGGTCACCAAAGGAGGGAAGACGATCAGGACCAACAACGGCATCGATTTCAGCTTGAGCCTTCTTCTGCGCGTCAGGGAAAAGTGTCATGGCCAGGAAAAAGGAGTATATTGCCGAAACTGTCTGAGGATGGAATTAGTCTCGAAATGTCATGATTTGAAATATGTAGGTCGATTCTAACCGTATCGGCACCACCGGAATATAAGGATGCAGCAGACCACTTCACAATGTGATCCTCTTCGGCAGACAAAGTACGGCCTTCCAGCAGATTCGAGGCGAAAGATTTCGGGGCAATACCAGCAGCCTGTAAAATTCAAACTTTAACTCCTGATAAGAAAAGTACGAATATTAATCACCATCTGATCCTTGACGAACTTGTAGGGTGTAGCAACCATCTCTTCGAGGGTCTCGCGCCATTCACGTGCTGTGCGCTTGAAGCCAGCACCAGGGAACCACTCAGGCACGTTGGCCACTACAAATAGTCAGGAACTTGGAAGCAATGGTCAGAGTGCTATTGCCTTACAGGATGGCATGATGTCAACCATCCAGGCACCAGTAGCAGTAGATTTCGAGAATTGGTCGACAGCAACGTCCGCAAGGTCGATCAGGGGGTCATTGTTCTCCTTGACTTCATAGCCATGAGAGATGCGGAGAATGATGGCGCCAGCGGTACTATACAAATTCAAACATCAAATAGCAACTAGGAATAAGGAAAGACAGCACATACTGTCGCACGTGTGCTTGGAGTTGGTCAGGTTTGGCAAGTACACGCTTCAGGAATCGGCGAGTCTCAATGTCCTCGATCGGATGGTATATATCCATGGAGGCACGACTGCCAATGACGCGATGGAAATTTTTGCGGTACTCGCGCAGATGGTCACCATAAGGGAGAAGAACGAGAGTGTTCTTCCAGCCAATAAGTTCACCACCCATAGGAAGGATAGGACGATCAGAGTAGACAGAGCTCTTCTTGTCCAGCATTTCCACCGCAGCCTTCACAGAGTTCAGGACCATGATGTGCTGACCCAGAACCTCTACGTGTGAGATGTCGCCTGTGCGAGTGGTCAGAATGCATGATTTCGGCAGAGCAGGAGACACCCACCATATTTCTTGCCCCACTCAGTGAAGGTGAGCCAAGGCTTGACCTGAGGCATGTCTGGGATATTCCCGACGAGAGGACGCCCCGGGGGACCAGGGGGGTATGGTGCAGGATTCTTCTGAGAGAGTACCTGCTTGACCAGATACACTCCGACGCCGGCAAGACATAGGTCCAGCCAAGTGATGTTAGTGAGTGTCAACATGGTTTGTGATGAGTGAATAAAGAGCGGCCGGGTGAAAGATAAGAGATTTCAATGGTGTCTGGAGTTGAAAAGGGAGCGCAGGGTGGAAAGAGCTAGTTTGGAAGTTTAGCTGTCAGGTGCTATTGCGTGCAGCATGTATTATATTTGCGTACAAGACCTTCCTCAATTCGTCCCAATCTTCCGGAAGCATGAGAGCTGATAATGACTGGTCGTAACAGTAGTCGTAACATGGGTGTTGTCAACCGGAGAATTGGGTCAACTTTCAGGCACCCGCGGGTCAAAATTTGCCGTCGCTTTTTGCGATCATATCCTCCGAGCTCCCACGGACCACCCACCTCCTCTGACCATCCTTTATATGGTCTTCTCACTAGTACAAAGGGCGCCGCAGTGTCAATCATTGCTGCCAACTAAAGTTCTAGCTTTTCAGGGCAATCCGTCCATCATATGTACCATCTCAGATAGATCTTGGAGAAATAACACATCGTGGCACAAAATAGCATTACGTAACAGTTTCTCCAGTGCAAATCTGCGTATTAAAATGCGAGTTCCAAATTCGTGCTCAAGTAAAATGTAAAAAAGGACCT